TCTTTAGCTTAAAGTTTTATTGTAGAATCTTTAAAGCAATTGAAACCATCTTGAAGAAAAGCAGAACAGCTGTACGGGCCCGTTGAGTCACCAGGACCCCGAGAAACGAGCTACCGGTCCGGAAAAACCGCCCGGCACTAGTGTACTTGGGCAAAAAATATTAAATGAAAAACATTGTCCGCTTTTGTGGCCAAAAATTAGTGACAGCAGAGAGTACAAATGGAAACAAATGCCACGTTTTTCGATGAAATGTGAGTTTCCTGTTCTAACTCGAAAACAGAAATGAAAAGTATCAATTGTAGAATCGCTTTTGTGGTTATTCCGCGCGCGCCAGTCTATCGCGTAGTATTTACGAAAAAAAAAAAAATCGAAATTTTCCACACTGAAAATTCATACGATAAAATGCGTAACGACTTAGTTAGGTCGGGCTGAATGGGAAATATTTGGCTTTCGGTCATAGCACTCGGACCTCTGTGTTGTGCACGGTGCGTACGTCATGACCTCGAACCAAATACTTTCCCGTCCGGCCCTCCCACTCAGTCAATTAGTACACGGTATCTCACAACGGCTTTAAACTGATAGTAAATTTCAGTTGATTCATTTTCTCCTCTTTTCTATCGGGTATACCAACGTCTAATTGACACAACAGGTCGTAAGTAGCTTTTTCTTTACTTTTCCTCATTCATTTTTACATTTCTAACAAACCAGGTACTATTCGACAGTCATCATCAGTCATCATGTGTTAGACTCTCTTCAGAGTTATCATCATTTTTGCAAAAGAGTAGATTTGTAAAAGAAAAAGGTTTACTTACAATGAACTGGTATAGTTTTCGCCCAAGTCAATAATTTTGATTGCGGCCAAGAGTTATACTTTGGCAAAATGTCCTTTTTACTATTGATGGCCGACAGCATGTTAAAGACTCTTATCTGGTCAGACTTCACCATTGACTGCCAACATGGTAACCATTTGAAATACCCAACAGTTGTGGCTAGTGTAATAGGATGCGTAGTCATACTACTGGCTGTTCCATTAACAAGACACTTTTACTTGACGATACCAAACTGAAGAACAATGTAGGCAATAACAAATGTGCCTCACTAACTAACATATCTCTTTCTCCTATTTCCTACCTTAACGGGCAAATAGATCGTAAGTATTTCTTCTTTTTATAGTTATTTGGCGGATTTCACATGTCTTTTCACTACTGAAGTAACAGTCATGTAACATATTTGTGTCACTGTCGCTTACTTTTGTAATAATGAAAGCTACAATTTCGTTTTATTGATATTATTACGGATGAGAAATTATGATCATTAATAAACATGACATTCTGATATTCGCCTTGCTTCCTAACTTATGGTTGGAAACTTGTTGACGTCGTTTTGAACTAGGCTCATGTGAAAATATATATTCAGTGTGAACCATAAGTAGATAAGGATCAGATTTTGATTCAGTGGCTCTGGTTACTAAAAGATTTAATGTCGTCTGTGGTAGACTGTAAAATTGAGGTGTTAGTTACTTGAAACTAATTATGAGAATTAAAGCCATAATCATGAAAATGGTTTCATATCAGAATTATTTGTAGAGCAGAGGTCTTAGCCGACTGATTAATGAATATCAACTCTCTTAGCAGTTAATTACTTTCATTTTATTTATTTTTCTGTTCTTGATGTATTTTTTTTCTTATTCCTTGGCCTTGGCAACTGCGAAAAACAATTAGGACGTAAGTACATGTTTCGCTGTGATTTAAAGCATATCTATTTGCATGGCACCTTCACAGTACGTTTACGTTAACATATTTAACTAAAGTACAGGTGATGAACGAAAGAAAAAGTGCATAGCATTTCTCAATAAACAAATAAATATTTTGAGCAATATATGCACGTTTTAAGTTTATTTTTGTTACAACTTTTATTTACATGCCACTTCTGCGATCACTCAGCTGGTAAGTTGAATTTAGTTTATCTCGCGCAATTCTTAATCTTGATAATCATGCTCAAGACAGTTAAATTTTCCTTTAGTACCTAAGATCCTATTTACAACCGGACCGCGTATGAATTGTTTACTCTTTTCGGAGTGTATGTCGATTAAGTGTTGTAAAAACAAAGCTAGGTTATCACCACAACGAAAAATCATTGAAGCCTTAAGAATCTCATATTCAAAGCAAACATTTGGCATCCATGACTGGAAAACACACGAGATCATGTGAAATCAAATTTGCTGAGAAGCTGTAGCGCAGGACGAGGCGTGGCAAAACTCCGATGTTATCAAGGATTACTTCTGAAACCCCCGTTGAAAATCGCTTTCTCCTACAATAATACAGTTTCAGCCAATGAAATTTACGCTGACATCCATGTCACCAATGTGTTTTAAGTCTACTTTTATGCTTTATTTTGAATTTTGAGCTCAACTCGTGCTTTCGGTACATTTTTTTATTGGTAAAGACTTCCATAACTGGCCCCTCATACCGTGATCTGCAGGTGACAGCTGACGAGGAACATTCGAGCAATGCTAACTTTCTCTACTTTCTGATAGCGACTGAATCTTGCCCAAGACTGCAAACAAAAAAGTTCACAGTGTCTACCATAGTATCATTAAAGGGCTTGACAAACGCAGAACAGAAGTAATACAAAATTTAACACAAGTAATTCAAGGGCTGGTCATACCACGCATAAAATCAGCCAAACCCTTAACGCGAAACCGGCGTGAACGAGGTTAAACAGAAATTTAGAAATGCAACCCATCCTTGACAATTTTCTCTTGAGTTTCTAGAGAATCTTTTTCCAACATCACATCCTTCTCTGGGAAATGTAAATTTAGGCGCTAATGCTCGCTTTCCATGTGTTGAGAACGTACTGGAACCTAATTCCTTTCCTAAAAAAAAAAGGAGGGTTAAAGTTTTACGATGAATTGTTATTTCATAACTTAAGCTATGTTATTTAGATCATTAACCGCTCCTCCTTTCTTATCTCGTCTTTCCTGTCCAGCCAAAAGTGAAGGTAACTATCAATATCATCCGTTCCTATAAATTAAGAACCCTCCTGTGGCTTAATATACATTACTGACTCTCCGCACCGGCTGATTACTGATCAGCAAATTACAATCGTAAATAGCAAAGAAATATCTGCGTGTGTATCAATGACAGTTAGTCATAGCTGTTAATGTTACTATCCGAACGATTTTACTGATGTGGACAGTATCAGCATAAAATCAATACCCAAGCTCTGTAATAAACGATATTTGTATAATTATCATCAGATATCAGTCATATTTGGCTGATTGTCTGTTTGATTTAACAAATTCTGTCACATAATTATCGATTTCAATGCAAAATATTGACGTACCAAACAAACTGGTTAGTTCAAATAAACAAATGAATAGATAAAAGGATTAACGTCTTTTTCAAAATTGTTTTTCTCCTTCACGGCGTTCTTTCCGGATTCATAAGCGGGTGAGTTCAGTTCGTTCGTTAATCTTATGATGTGTTAGTCAAGTATTCCAAGGTTATATTAAGCCACTTACTTACTCACCGAGTGTGAATCTTTCTTTTCATGTTCACCTAACATCCTCATCCTAACTGATATAACAGATTGTAAGTAGCCATGCTTGAACTATCATTTATCAACGAATGGATTCCAATAGAGGGATTCAGACAGGATACTCTTCGCTGTTGATCAGAGGATGTGTGGACAAAGATATTGCATAGAAATAAAAATTTTAATTGTTACAAGAATTGAATTTCAACGCTTCAGGCTTCTGCCATATACTAGTGGAACTTTTAAACTAGTTTGTTTCTTTTAAAATTTTTGCACAGTCTTCCATTTGAGCATTAGAAAACAGTGCCACTCTCCTTGGCTTATAGCATGATAAATCCTTGACAGATGTTGAGAGAACACCAATGATGCTTTTAAATAGGGAACTGTAAGCTGGGTGATTTATAAGCTTCAAGCCATCAGTCTTTTTTAACTTGGAGATGTTAGCTCGAAGTCTCCTTGGAAATTAGAAACTGGGGATATAAACGATAATAATGTATTTTGTTATCCTTTATGACAAGATACAGATTAATGCAGCAAAGGAAGTAAGAGCATAGGTAGAGTGATAATATGACATATGACACTTTTCGCACAACTTGCTGTTTTCAAAGGTTGTATGGCATGGTCGTCTTGGAATGGCGGCTGCAAAGAGTGCGGTCAGTACCGAAAAAGAGTCGGTAAGTGACAAGAGGGAGTTTTTTAGAATTTGTGATTCGAAAGTGCAATGGCGGGTTTTCGCCATTGTTTTACAACTTCCAAACTATACAGCATTTATAAGCTTATATTCAATTGGATTCCTTCCTATGTATATACTGCAATGATAATTAGGCAGGAACCCTCAACAGTTATTGCCAATGGATGTTTTCTCTAGTAGAAATAAGATGACTTAATCTCCAACCGTTTATTACTTTTAAAAGATTATCTGGATAACCTTACTTCTAGAATTTAACTGCTCAAGAACTCGGGAATCACGACCTTGTAAATGTAAGTGGTTTTATGAATGAGGACAAAGTAAAGGACTCACCTTTTGGTCGAAAATGCTGTACAGATATGCCTAAACTGTCCTTTTATTAACTTCCAAACTATTTGTAAAATACGCTTTGTTTTTACCAACCGAGTTAGTAATGTAGATTGGCCAGCGTAAGTAGTTCCCCAGCTGATGTCTCGATTGTTAGCTCTGACGAAGGGCTAACGGTCCAAACGTCAGCTGGGAAAATCTTTACGGTGGCCAATTTAAATTTAAATTAACCCTTAGCACAAAAGTCAGTCGGTTACCTCCAAATCATCGCCTTAGTTTAAATGCTCTTTAGGCGGCTTCCCTACACCTGAGATACTCTGGACTAAGGATGGGTTGAATCTTGGTAGCAACAACATTCTCACGATTGATCAAGTGAGTTATGGAAATCCTGGTCAATAACATGCAGCGCTAAAAAAGTGAAGGGAAAAATGAATTAGCTTTTCATACTATGGGGACAGGTAAATGTTGACTTACTTTTGTTTCCTTCTGTTGCTCTTCTCATTTTCTAATGTTTTTTTCTCATACTTTCGCCTTTTTTGAATTCTTCTTGTTAATTCTATGCCCAGGTCCTCCTGGAATTAATCCTGAGCACAAGAATCAGTCGGTTACATATAATTCATCGCCTCAGTTCAAATGCTCATTTAGCGGTTTCCCGACACCTGAGATACTCTGGACTAAGGATGGGGTGAATCTCACTAACAACAATACTCTCACGATTCGTCAAGCGCGATTGGAAGACTCTGGCAAATACACATGCAGCGCCGAAAATATCGAGGGGAGCAGAAACTCAACTTTCTGGATCGAAGTGGCGGGAGGTACGGTTTTCATTTGCATATAGAAAGAGCTGAAGTCGCGGACCAATTTAAATCTTTAGTTAGATGAGGAAAAAAAAAATCGATTCTCTCGGTACCAAATCAGATTTAAGGACTTGAAACTGCACAAAGTTCAAAACTAATTAAAAATAATAAAAAAGTACTAAATTGATGATAACATTTAAAGAGCGAGAACATGCCAAAGTATATATCAAATCTAAATGAATTTTGTAATCAGACACATGTAATTAATTTTTGTGCAGTTTAAACTGATTGCTTTTTGGAACGTCGAGCAATTTTGACTTTATAGATATCACCATATTTTGTCACGGCATTTATTATAAAAGTCTGTCTAAATTTTTAATTACCCTTTTTTCTGCTTCTGACAAGTCATGATTTCATGTACATTTTTAGAAGTGGTAAAAGTGTACGCGTCACAGTATGCCAAAGCGGCCATCAATGCCTTAGTTTCTAAGTATTTATTATTGAAGTTGGAAAGCGATTTTTTAGAAACATCCATGTAAACTTTTCATTGAGTTGAAATTTGAAAAATCAGCGACCAAAACTGCAAAGAAATACATGAAAATATTACCGCTGTTACGTCGTTATGAACTTGTACTCTTGCTACAACGGACAATCTGCGTGATTAAAGTGACAGATTTAACGTAACGTTTTCATAGAATGCAAATATTTTGATCATTATTATCTGGCTATTCTTCAATGTAAATGTGTAGTTTGATCTTAGAGAAACTGGTGCTCTTTGAACATGGTTTTTACACCAAAAACTAGTAAGAAAATTACGAAGAAATTAATAAATAGGAAACTAAATTGTTACCTCCTGGGCTGTTGCTAAGATAGGAAATCTTTTAAGGAAATAAAACATGTTTTGATGTCACATTGGGCTGACCTATACCTTCCTATATCAAAAGTGAAGAAAACTGATTGCAGAATAAAATTGGATTAAAAATAGGCTCGGCAATAACGTAGTTTGCTTTCATTTTGAAACTAGTTAATTTAGGGTTGGATAAGGGAGGAGGGAGAGGGGGTTAAAAAGGAAAATGCGACCCTTTGTTTAGCTTGATGATCTTTTTACTTCAAGTCTCTCCCCAGATCATTCAGCCTCCGAAAAGCCAATCTGTTACCGAAGGATACCCTGTAAACCTTAGTTGCGTAGCCTCAGGTATTCCAACACCAACCTTCGTCTGGACTTTTAATAATGGTGACCTGCCATCTGGTATCAATCAAACCGATCACGAAGAAGAATCATTCCTAGTTTTGCCAAGTGTCATGAAAAGGATGAATGGGACTTACAAGTGTACAGCAAAAAACAAAGTAAACACAACCAGTTCCTCAGCAACTCTGCGTGTTTATGGTAAGTTCAGTTATAATGATATTGATAAGGATGATGATGATGATGATGGTAACGACGACGATGATGACGTTGATAATGACGATGATAATGTTGAAGATGAAGAACAGAAATAGGGAGAGAAGAAATTAAGACAGGAAAATGAACTCGTAAATCCATGGGCAATGTCGACTGAGAAAAGGCAGTAGCGTAGAGAGAGTTTAGGCAAACTCTGCCCATTTGTAGAGAAGGCAGATCACGCTATCTAACGGTTAAATATTTATCCGGTCAATGTGTGATAGTAAAACGTAAAGCGTTATCCACTAGATAGAGTTTTATTTTGTGGATAGTGTTATCTACCCTTCAAACGACCGGGGTCTGACCTTCAAAAAACGGATGATACCAGTGCTTAATGCTAATGTCCTTGGATCTTTATGATTCCAAACGCAAAGAACTGCGTAGATCTGAGTAGGAAAGAAACGCCTCTATCCTATCCAGCTATCCAGATAGCTCTCTATCTGGATGGTTGGTGATATTAATTTTTATTTTTAATGCCGACCAGCAAATTACTTTCCCACTAAGTTTCCTCTATTGTTATATATCAGGAAAAATAGAGGCTCCCTCCAGCGGCTCACCTCCCTCCAGCAGCTCACCTCCCTCCAGCAGCTCACCTCCCTCCAGCAGTTCACCTCCCTCTACCAGCTCACTGGAGTGGTACTATATTGGAGGACCTTTGGCTGCTATCGTTTTTCTACTGGCGCTAATTTCATACATTAAAAAACGCCGTGAGACAGGTAAAATGTTACTATACGAAAATAAAATGTCTTCATATGGCAGATTGTGGCTTTTAATACGTCAGTGTTTTGGAGCACGAAGGAGCTATTTTAAGCAGGTCATATTCTGCATTTCAAGCACCGATATTGAAGGTCCCTCTACAGTCCCGGCAAAGCCCATTACTAATCACATAACAAAAAACGTTATAAATTATATGAAACTAATCACCATGATAACCCACCTTATTCCTTCTCCTGTTGTTTGACAATAGAGTCAAATATAAGTTACACGTGGTTTCTGAGTCGCAAGCTTCAACTTAGTGAATGATGTCATTCTTACTCACAACGAAGCGATTTCTTTCATCTCTTTCCATATATCCTTTGATAATAGCCCCACCTGAGGTACCACCCAGGCTGCAGTAAGTGAATTCTCTTTTTTTTTAATGCTCACTGTTTGAACGTGTGGTTATTTCCGAAGTTTCTAACTCTTGAATAAGTCTCAGGAGAGTAGTGATAAGCGCCACTGCTGAGCGAATGTCTTTTTATCAGTTTTTCAGTTTGGACTGATTATATTCACCATCAAGACCACATGGGCCAAAATAAAATGTTTTTTCCTTTCGAAGCAATGGCAGATTTCGAAGCCGTTCTTATCAAATGGTATCTTTGTATCTTTCTTTTCTTTTGTTACCAGTATGCCGGGTTGTGGGTGGCATACTTGTAAAGAAGAAGAAAAGCTTTGACCCTTCGTCACTCTTTGTTACATAAACTACAATTGAAATACACTCGGAGTCTTTTAGACCGATTTAAAATACCACTCGATATATCGATTGTAGACAGTACTTCGGATGGTTTTAATTAGTATTTCATTTCTCGCGTTGGAGGCACGATATTTATATGACGTAAAATGCCGAAAAACACAGTCGGCGCTAGGTTTATTCAATAAAATCTCCTCTCTGAGTCGATGCGTCGAAAAAACGGGTTTAGCAAATTAGCATCAAAATTTCACTTATTTCAATAATTTTTTCATTGGCAAGTGATAATTTTCTGAAGCACCCGGAAATGAAACGAAAAGAAAAAAATTAAAGTGAAGATATAGAGGATATCTTTACCACGTTATGTTAAACCAGATTCAAGGAAGGAAAAGATAGATGGGTAACAGCAATAGTTGAAGTCTTGTTTCCATCTGCAATTATTCAGTGAAGGGGAAGATGAAGTTGAGATGGATCAGCTGAACGCAAACACAGATGGATGGGAAATTGCAGTTGAGCGCCTGAACTTTCGCGAGTATATTGGCAAAGGGGCATGTGGTTCAGTATGGCGAGCGCTACTGGGTCGTTCTCGAGGCAGACCTGGAAATCGCACGGTTGCTGCGAAATGCTACCTACGTAAGTACTTTTTCAGATCTTTCTTTCATACAAAGCTTGATTAAACTATCCTTTTTTAATTTATCTTAATAAAGACTATTTCACTTAGAACATGCTTTATTTACGTACCTGATACATAACATGGATAGCATAAAAACTATGCGTTGTTAAAATGATTTTCCAGCTGGCATGTCAAATTGTTGGCGGATGGTTCCCGGGGGACCAGTTGTTAAGTCTTTTGTCATACAACGCTACTAACACACAACAGAACACGAATATCATTTGAAGTATTAGAAGCTGTGGAGAAAAATTACAAATTTATCGGTTAAATTGCATTCAAACGAATAAAAGCGGAAAATACTATAATACTGAAAATGTCACTCCGTCGTATATTTTGTGAAATTGCTCGCTTATAAACTTTTGATAGGAAATAATATCATGTGACCTCAAAGAAACCTCGAGAGGGTGAGTCTGGCGAAAAACACTCGGAGCCGTTTGCCAGTCTAGTGGTGGTGGTATGATCTTCTTCCGCTGGAAAAGCTGAAAATCACAATGCAATAGAACCTGTATGAAGCAGTCACCTTGTAATAAGCTATCGGTTTTCAAAGTCCCGAAACTTTCCTCCTTTACTTATAGTGCTTTTTATTTCAAGCAGTTGTGGTCACCCTTTACTGTGGCCCAACAGCCTATTTGTAATGTTCCCCACCTTTATCGAACGGTCACTAAAGCGGGAGTAATCAAATAAAATTAAGAATAATCTTTCAAGTGAAATTTAATCCATGTTTATCTCCCAAAATCAATGTTAGGAATATTTTTGAGCGAGGTTAAGTATGTTAAGTGGTCCGTGATGACATAGGGTGGCATTTTTAAACTTTTATCAATAGTAGCCCTACTCCGAGGAACCAATATTAAACGGTCAACCTTTTTCCGTGCGTGACCGCTAAATACAGGTTCGACTGTAACAAGCTTACAGAGTCAAATGAATTTACAATAACTCTGGGAATGCTTACGAATTATTGTAGCTTTTAATAAGATAAAAGCAAGGATTATCTAATTTATGAACTAGCATGTATTTGCAGCATGTGTTTAAAAAAAAACTGTCTCAAATATATATTCGACCGACTATTAGGTATTATAACAGATAGAATTTCTAGGCTTAATTGCGTCTCTACTTTTGTAAGTTATCTGTCAACAATTGCATGGTTCAATGGGCTTGCCTAGTTAACAACAATGCTCGAGATGTGCAGCGTTTTCTTAGCAAATAATTTTTTCAACGAGGATGAATCTATTTTGGAAATTTCATGTTCAATACAATTGAAAAATACGGCTAACTGACATTTTTGTGGCAAGTATGGATTATATGGAGTTTAGTAAACGAATTTTTTTTTTTATGTAGACCAAATGCATTATAATTTGCGCTGGTAAGATAACACCAAGCATACAACAATTCCAGATGTGGATGTTTACCACATAATTAATTGTGTCTCTCTTGACATGCAAAGTTTGTTTGTTTATCTAGTTTTTGTGTGGTTTCCTAGCAATCTCCGGAGAGAAAGGAAGGAAGGCCCTGCTGAGAGAGATCGAGTTATTAAAACTCTTTGGAAGGGAGGGCCATGAAAATGTTGTTAAGTTCATTGGTTGTGTCACAGTTGGAGGTAATCAGCTATTGTTATGATTATAATCAGCTAATTCACAGCAACGATTGAGACATCTCTGAGTTCAACCACTGGTACAATTACTTCTATCAGTATTTTTAGTCTTTGCTAAGATGGTGTACTAATTCAATGGTTATTATCAATTTATTGACTGTTTTAAATGAATTTACTTCGCACTGTATGAGGGGCATTTTACTTGGAAGATGTTAGCTCTAAAATCTACATGCTAATTGTGATAAAAACTTCAACTTACGATGGCAAGTCTTTGTCTATTAATCTGCCGTCTCTGCTTTTTCTGTCTGTCTGTCTGTCTGTAGATTTCTATCGGCCGTATGTGTCCGTCTATTTTCTATCTGTGTGTTTTCTTCTTTCACTTTCCCTCTCTGTCTCTACTTTGATTCATTACAGATATAACCTGAGGTATAACTAGATAAAGCATGTACAATTCAAACACGTTTTGGAACTTCTGCACTGCTTGCCGTAAAATAATTTTCTTGTTTTTCCCTTTTAGCTCAGCCGATACTTATCATGGAGTACCTGTGGCGAGGTGACTTGCTGGGTTATCTCAGAAAATCCAGGGGGGTTTTCGACCAATATCATCATGGGGTCGGAGGGGTCGACCACTTGACAACATATGACATGGTGCTGTTTGCTAAACAGATCGCACATGGTATGACTTTCCTCGCGTCCAGAGGGGTAAGTGCTCAAACTCTTTCTGATCAGCATGTGGTCCTGCATGTGATAAAATAGCATGACTTGCAAATCGTCAAAGTAATACTCCATACGGCTAAAAATATCCAGCGCATTAGAGTCACTATTTCACCGAGAAATGGTCTGACATTAGCATGATGTTAAACTTTCTACCTATATTTTACTTTTTTATTTTATGTAGTTTATAAAAGCCCCTTTTAGCAGATCATATAATTATTTGTTTTCGATTTCAGATAATTCATGGCGATCTTGCAGCTCGTAACATCCTTCTTGATGAGCATCGTGTCTGCAAGTTGACTGACTTTGGGCTCTCCTATCAGGATTTCAAATATGGCCCAGGAAATGCCAAGAAGGTAATTTTCAGAATTTTTTCACCATTTAGTCAATTGGTTTTGGGGCTGCTGGTATGGAAGATAAAAATGTGAAGAATTAAAATATTACTGTCCTTACAAACCTTTCTTTTCAGTTGTACAGTCTTACTGCAAAACATATTTCCCTTTGACGGGAAGCCATTCTAAGCGTATCGAAGCTTTCACAGAAAAAAAAATTTGTACCTAGGGAGTGAACACAGGAAATAATAAAGCCGGAAGAGGCGGAAGAGATATCGTTCTCTGAATAACAAAGATACAAACTCGAAGGGCAAAGTAACACAGGAAATTTAAAGCAAAAGGAGTGTGTGAATTGTTTTCAAAGAATTTGTACAAAGGTGTCTACTGCTGTTGACTTTATCGTGAATCTTCACATCACAGTTTTAATCTTATATGCAAATTATTTTAGGAGCTGTATACAAGCCTCCTTAGATTTCAGATGTTTATAATATTTTGGTTACTCATCCAGGGATGTATCCCAATCAAATGGACTGCACCCGAGATTCTCTTTGGACATGTGGCGCAGCTGTCAACCAAAAGCGATGTGTACGTACTGTATTGGTTATTATCTACATATATTCCATAAGTGAATATTTTTTACGATTCTACCTTAACGTAGCGAGGGAAACTAGAATATTCAGTGCTCTATTGATTAGAGGGTCATCAGGAAGCGTCAAGCTGAGGAACAGCTGAGGTTACAGATGTAGTATGAGACTTTATATGAATATTAAGTTTAACGAGCAATATCCACAATCTGTTAAGGACAAGAAAAGACGGATGAAAGGATGAGTGGATAATCAAACTAAAAAATATGGCGTTTTCTCTTAGGGAGGTTGCTTATATCTTGATGGCATGTTTCTAAACATCCCAAGTATCTGAGTAATTATTATCTTTCTAACCCAGTTGAGATATATCGTCATCCTTCCATTTCTTTGACAGGTGGTCCTACGGCATCGTCTTGTATGAAATCTTCACTGTCGGTACTTAACTTATTTGGTACTTTATATTCAGGAAATATACCTGCCGAAATTTCACGCATAATTACTAACTGATGAGTGATACCGAGCGGACAAAAGAGCATTGTACAATAGAGAAGTAGAAGCAACTCTCAATGTCGCTGATAAATAAAATTATGACGATGCATAGTAACTTGAAATAAAGCTTAAGTTTAAGTAGAACTGAAAGTATTCAGTACATTATTGAAAAACCTTAAATCCATCGCTACACTTAAATTTGTTTTTTTACAGTGCTCTTTCATCTGATGTAAAACCGAAGTGTATTTCAGCAATTAATTGTCGTTTTGACAGAAGAATCATTTCCATCGCGCTGAGAGGAATGAAAGTGATTACAACAAAAAAAGTGTGCTTTTTTGGCCAACAGAAAAAAACATTATTTTTCCACAGGAGGCATTCCTTACGAAGGATGGTCTCAATCCACGACAATGAAAAAAATCGAAGAAGGTTATCGTCTACCAAAGCCTGAACATATCGACGACAGTTTGTAAGTGTTGCTTCCTCTGTGTGGAATGTTGTATAAGTCAAAAGCAACATCGATTGCTGCTGTGGTCAGGTGTTTTTGATACATTCGCTCTGAATAAGTAGCCTTCCTAAGAAAATGATTTTATCTTGTCAGAATTCGTTTGAGCTGCAATGTAATGAGATAAACTTATCATTTCAGTTATTTTTGTAACTATTTGTGGTTTCTCAACTTTGCTACTTGCAATATGTCCCTGCGTTTTTCTATAGATACGCGGTGATGTTAAACTGCTGGAAATACGAAAACGCCAGCCGGCCAGACTTTGTGAAGCTGTACCAAACAATGGATACATATATTAAAACAAAGGTTTGCCATACAGCGTCTAATTCAGGATATACTTCAGAAATTGAAATCGGTATCCTACCAAGTCAATTGCGAATTTCTTTTCACGTCAATGTGATGTCAAAACGCATTAACTACCCAGCCGCTAACAATTTGTGAATTCAGTTTCGTCATGAACCAATGTTACTTTTAAACATATGCAAGTGTGGTTACGTTATGTCAATCTGGATCACCCTTATTTCCCTCTGTTGTCTACACACAAGAAAGAACGGAACAGATCTTAAAATAACACTTTTGGAGAACTTTGACAGAAAGGAAGACTTTACCTGACTTTTATTCTTATCAATTCATGCAAGTACTAATGGTTCTTGTCTTTGTGATTGATATCTGATCCGCTCTTTTTTTCCTTTTTAGTGACTCTTTTTTGGAATTTCTTTGTTGAATTTTTGAAATTCATTCGTTCAAGATTTTTTTAACTCATACAGTTCTTGATTACCTTCTAATCTTTTTCATAGACATATGTAGATATCTTTGGCGATGACAAGTATGATCAGGATAAGTACAACTTTGTCGATGACCGTGGAGCTGTTGCAAACCCAGAAGATGCAGGACCGGACGAGCTAGGAGCAGCTACAGCAAATCCCATCAGTGAAGTGGGTGAACACGGTGCTACGGCACATCCCTTTCCGGTTGCAGTGGACGATGATGCTACAGCTTTCCCTCTTGGAATTAACGTAGAAGACGAAGGAGCACCTGCAACAGATCCCGACCGTGAAGTGGGTGAACACGGTGCTACGGCACATCCCTTTGTGATTGCAATAAACGATGGTGCTCAAGCTTTCCCTTTCGCTATTAACGTACCAGAGAAAGGGGCAGCTGCAAGAAATCTCGCCCATGAAGTGGATAAGCACGGTGCTGCTGCACATCCCTTTGTGGTTGCAATTGACGATGGTGCTACAGCTTTCCCCTTCGCTATTAACTTACAAGACGAAGGGGCAGCTGCAGGAAATCTCGCCCGTGAAGTGGGTAAGCACGGTGCTACGGCACATCCCTCTATGGTTGGAATTGACGATGGTGCTACAGCTTTCCCTCTCGGAATCAGAGTAGAAGAAGATGGTTGTACAGCATACCCTTTTGAGAGTGATAAGAAAGATATGGATGCCCAAGCGCACCCTTTTGAGAGTGATACTTTACCATACCTTAGCGAGAACGAGAAAGAAGATGTTGATGACTCCGAGTGCCCTCTTGCGATTGAGGAAGAAGAAATTGATCCTTTACCATCCTCCCTGGAGATGGACGAAGACAGTCTCGCTGCTTCAGCATGTCCCCTTGTGACTGACGAAGAAAATTCTGATTCTTTAGCATACCCCCTTGTGGTTGAGGAAGAAGATTCCAACAACTCAGCATGCTCCCCTGTACCTGGGGAAGAAGATTTGGAAGCCACAGAATGCCTTTCTGTTACTGAAAAAGAAGATCCTACCTCTTTCGCACGCTCCGCAAATGAGGTGAACAAACTCGGTGCCTCACCATTCCCTTGTGTGATCGAAAAAGAAGATCTTGATTCTTTAGAATACAATCCTCTGATCGAAAAAGAAGGCCTCAGTGAATTCGTCTTCCCTCCAGAAATTCAAACTGATGACGAAGAAGGTGTAACAAGTGGAACTGAAAATACCGTTGGTTATGAAGGTGCTGTGGCAGTTCAATCTGAAAAGGAGGCAGTAGAAGAAGAACCTAAGACTTGCCAACTAGAGTACACGAAAGATGAACAAGACGATCTTGGAAACTATATGGACGACCGAAGTGATGCTGTGGACCTTTTTGACGGAGACGCTGGCGTACAAGAGTATGATGGTAATCAACTTACTGCTGCGGATATAGACGAAACTGGAGGTGACGAAGACGAGGAGTCATCTGAAGCAACTCCTCTTGTGCAGGACTGAGGCTTAATAGCAGAATTGCTGAACCTCTAAGGTTGTAGTCTTATAACTCTCTGTGGTAATTTGTAGTTTATATTTCGAGAATTTCAGCCTCAATATTTCATAGTTTTCGATTTTAAGAAGTAGGTTTTTCGTACTTTTACTTTAGTAATGCTTTGGTAGTGATAATAACCATTTTCATAGTTTATAAATGGAGGTTAAGTGGAATTTTCTTCAAAGAAAAACTTGTTTATTTACTTCACTTTTGCATTTCTTAGTTTACCGTTTATTCACTTGGTGCACTTGTCAGTACTTTGTTGATATTATTGACTGTAGGCTGATAGAGACAAAAAAAACAGAAAAAAAAAGAGATTGCTGTTAAGATAATTTTTATAACTGATCAAGTCAGAAATGCTGCATAAGTTTGTGAGTGTTGTTCCCAGTATAAGTAATATTTCCTAATCTAATTAAGAATAATTTACTTGTTGCAAAGCACTCCCTAAATGCTTCAATAAACTTATATAAGCTAAACTCGTTTCGTTTACTCCATTCGTTGAAGCAAAATTGCTGGTCCGGATCTAACTGTAGATTTGAAGGATGCCATAAACTAAAATGACATCCTGCCTACTTCAAAGAGTAAGATTGACGAAAATCCAGTAGCGCTGCGTTAGTTCTGATAAGTGCATATATTTTTCTATTCCCAGCTTACGCTCGCTTAGCAACCAGGAGTAGCATATTTTCAAAACATTATTAACCCAATACATTTTATCCTTTTTGTAGACAGCAACTGACTCACCGGCCTTTTCAATCGAGTTCTCTATTCCAATTTGTTGATTAGATAGGCGGTATTAAGCTGATTAGTCTTGAATGTTGTTATTTCACACCACTGCTTCTAATCATTGTCTGAGAAAAGTGTTTTAGAAGTTTGAAACATAAATGACCCCATTGTGATGATTCTTAGTGCAGAAGTTGGCCTAAGGCAGATATTCCAAGTGCCAAGGAAGCATTATTTTTTACTTTTTATCTCCACAGTTTCAGGCATTTTGGCGTCTCGGGATATTGTGTTTGAATATTGTTGATACTAATCGTGCCTTCCTGGTGCACTATGTCAGCAAATATGTCGAGTTTAATCAAGCAATAGATGGCGTTTTCGAGAAACACAAACGAGCTAATATAATAATGGATTCTCATTCAGTCATTTTCCAGTTTTTATTTTTTTCACGAGCACTTACATAGAACACTGACATTGCCTAACCCATTGCTTCAACTTTCATCGTGAGAAGTACTGTGCTATGATTTTTAGAGAAATAGGCAACGGCAGTTATTTTCTTAGTGTCCGTCGTTGTGTTTTTTGACACGAACAGGGCCTTTGACAAAATAAACGAGGGCATTTCGGCGTGGCTTAGTTCATCATTAATCCATCTGATAGAAAACAAGTAGCGCTCATAAATTCTGAGTCCCTGACTCTCTGGTCTATGAATCCAGAGTGCCACAAGCGGTTCTTCCATGACTTGTTTTGTTCAGAATTTATGTAAATGACTTTTCATATGCCTCTCAATCTTGTTTTACTGAATATTATTGGATGATACTAAACTTCAGATTTCTCTCCCAGTTCAAGGCTGGGCTAAGACAGCAATTTTTTTTCTGAGACAGGGAGTGTCCTTTAAATGGAAGTGAAATAAAACCACGATCGTCGATCAGAAGATCGCTGGGGACTATGATGTCGATCTTAAAAATTTTGTTTTTTGCCTTTTTTTCAGTATTTATCTCTTTGACTGTTCAATATGCTTATAAGGAAGTATTTATCGTTTAGATAGGGTTTTGAAATTTCTGCACACGAAATTAAATTTAAAATTATTTTTTATTGGAATCTCCCGAAAATCTTACATATTTCGATCCATATATAGATATAAGGAACCCAAAAGTAGTCACTAAAACGTTACTCCGTACATCCTTCTCCATTCACCTCCAGGGGATTTGCGCCTAAAAATGTTGTGATTATTACAGGAATAAATTATTCAAAATCATATTTTTGTATTATTTTATCTCACAGTATTAAATTATATACAAAAACAAATATTCATCTAAGTGCCGGTGGCTAGGGATAGATATTGACATATCCCCGCTTGGCAGCTTGGTAAATATCCACCACTAGTTAACTCTACCTTGGTGAAGAGTTAAGAAATAATCATTTGATAAACTTTCAATAGGGCGATTGGCATCGCAACTTATCATAATAATGCAAACATTTCCGAGAAGCTAATATTGGAAAATGGATCATATTTCTATCCATATCTTCGCCACCAACACCAGCACCTGTACAACAACAACTGCAATGTGTCAATAATCATGTATTGTTACCCTTGGTGTTATCAAAACAAGCAGGCTGACATATCTGTCAACCAAAAACGGTTTATTTATGCGACTAAGAATAAAGTATTTGAAAGCCTAATGACCCAATTTCCCAGTCTCTAGCTAAATACTATAACAGGTACCGATAAGTAAGCACGTAATACTTCTTAAAAATCGTCAGGAGGAGACAGATTGTGCCTTTCTGGGAGAGCGTAGCCGGTTTTAATGACTAAGCTATTGAGTCACTCATCACGCCCTTAAAACCAAGGCTATTCCCAAAATGGCCTACAGTATATTCTAGAGCTCGTGTGAATGATTTATTCGTATTGCATTATTACACATTTTACGCTTTGTTTTTGGAAGCAGATGTGAACTGTTTGTGGAAAAAAAAAATTTGTTGAATATTGATAAGAGAGACGACCGCTGGTGTTTTCATCATAAAGTAAATGTTCAAAAGAACTTAAAGTTTAGCTAAATCTCGTTTTTTATTATTCTCGACTTTAATAATACCAAAATATAAGCCATTTAATTACCAATCAGCCATTTTTGTGGCGTCCTCAATTTGTGAGATGTTTAATGTGGTCTTATTTGATATTCAAGCATGACGCATTTTAAAATAAAGGTTAGACATACTCATCTTGAGGTTTTTCCTCCTGATTGTGGGGAAAAGTTAACTGAAAGTGGCCAAAAATGCAAAAGAAAGCAGTGGTTCACTGTGGCTCTATAAATAGAGAAGTCAGCAATAACTGAGGCGGCGAAAAAGGAAAAGAAAATAACAACCTTCCTTATTTAAAAGCGCCGCCAGCAAGAGGACTAAAGGGGCCGCACATATGTACGGGGTAGACTCTTTTAAGGTTTTATTCGACAAAGTTGCTTCGTACTTCGCTGAAAACGGTTTGTTCAGTCAAAATGCGAGATATTAGATTTACGTATGAGAGAACAGGGCATATCGAGCAAAGACAAGTCCACAATTAACGTTTATTATTAATTTTGTTTATGCATAGGCGATCTTTAAATAAATATTAGAAACCCGTCCAAAATAGATGGAAAGAATCAATTCTCAATCAATATCTCATTGTATTTCATGGCAAAAAAAAGAGACTAATTGATGTTATGTCTTCCTCTTCTTCTTATTCTCCTTCCTGTAAAGCGAACATGGAAAAGAAAAAGAAATTTGTATTCCTCCTCATACTGCAATAGAGTTTTCGACTCTGTAAGTGCAATTACTTGTCAGCATTCAATGATTCGTTATTGATTAATATGAAAATTCGCAAAAAATTATTTCTTTAAGGACACGGAAGTTTTTCCACATAATTAAAGGCGACCTTGAATCACGAACAACAATAAAACGCCCTGGCTGTGTCCTTTACTGCCTTTCTCACTTCTGTGATTTTCCAACAGTAAAGAAAAGGATTCAGAGATGAGTTCAGATAAACTAAAGTTTTCGTAGAGAGCCACAGAGCATGAACTGCTGATCCACTAAGTACTGTATGTCTCAATATCGACACAATTATAAAAGGGGTGTCGCAAGCCACTAAAGCCAACTGCACCCAAAATATGCTGGAAACTGTTTTCTGATATTGTTTGATGTTTAGTTGAACTCTCCCGTTTAATCTTTGTTTTGCTGTCCATGCACGTACTCTTCCCCTTCCTGTACCTTTTACTCCTGCTCCTTCTTCTGTGGCTGTTCTAATCCCCGTTATTGGGCTTGCTTCATCTTTTCCTACTCCTATATCTTCTCCTGCGTTTGACCGTCCTTCGCCAGGGTTGTCTTCTACTTCAGCCTGGTACCGCTGTAATCTCAGGTGGATCTTTACGTAGCAAAACACGGAAGTAACCAGAGATACCACAACGGCCACAAAAGCAACAATCTCCGAAACCGTTTGACTCCAGACACGAACCAATCCGCACAAAACAGCAATTATCCAGCATAAAAGTATAACAGCTTGAGTTCGCTTTAGTGTCACAACTTGTCTGTATCTCAGCCTCAATAACAGAACAAGAAGTCTGTCAACACTGATGGCTGTTGATATCAGTACAGTCACTCCAAACAAAACATAGTTGGATATACAAACAACCTCTTCGACGTAATACAAAATATCTATGTCGCTGTTACCAAGATCAATGTAAAGAAATAAAAAAGTCACAAACAGAGGTTGTGAAAAAAGACCCACACAAATATCGGTAGTGGCTAGACATTCAAACAAGACCTATGCAGCGGGATGCAAAGAGGACACTTTATAAAATGTTAATAGAAGCAGAGCATTACCAAGAGATGCAGTGAAGGAGAGGACAATGTTGAAAGCGAGGAGAAATGCTACTACTCCAACTGGTAATTGTGAAGATAACTGGCTTGTGAGGGTCGCCATTGGCGCTCACGTTCAGACTTGTGACTCTGTCTTTCCCTCTTTGGGAAGCAAATGAACGTTTATTAGGCGATCCGTCTTCGATATAAGTGTGTTATTGTTCTGTTGAGAATTTTAGCAGTTTCTATTGGATAAAAAATTCCTCCTGTCGTCTGATTTTCCGATGACAAATGTCACAGCTATAATTAGACTTGTTTTTAACTCTTTCGTGTTTTATTCAAATTCTTCGAATTTTCATCCTGTTTAGTGAGCGGGTGCTACATTTATTTAACAAACTAAATGACGTAGAATCTGCGAGTTATTTTTCACCGATACTTTGTAGAGCTTCCTCAACAAGTCAGCTTTTCTTTTCAGTTCCTGACCCATGTGTGTCTTTGTCCTTCTTAGCTATGCTTGTTTTGTTTTAAGGTAACATATTTGTGGTTCCTTTATGATGAGCTAGTGCTTTTTAGATGAAAAAAATTTGCATAATATACTGGTGTTTAAGAACATTGAGGTCAATTCTCATAAAATAAAGGCATCCTTGAGCTACAAACAACAAAACGCTCTGATTGTCTTCTTTACTGCAATTCTCACTTCTCTGAACTTCCAGCACTAAAAGAAAGAGATTCAAATTTAATTTAATGTTATCAACTGAGTTGATAAAGTAAACTGGCTACCGTATGCCAGTTCCCTATTATTCGTAACAGAAAAATTAATTACTTTGCCGCGAGTGTGTTCCCTAAATTCAGAACTCATTAGCCAGAGCCAATTTACCGGCACGTTAAAATATGTTAGTAAGTAGTGGTACTCTTTAACTTGACGAAAAACATAAGCGCAAGGCTGAAAAATATTCGTGAAAATCCTAGCTCGATATCACTTTTTCCTCTGAATGAATTCGATTAGGAACTGACGAGAAAACACAACTTCAAAATTAATTAAATTTGCTTTGAAAGGAGTAGGCTGTAGTGTGCGGAAAAAACAGTTTTACCACCGCAAATAGCCAGCTGAAAAGAAACAATTACCTCCATGTTTCTTTTGAAGTAAAAATGAAAAAATAAGCCACAGGAAATATTGGAAAATCGCCATAGGAAAAGAAAACAAAATGATATTGACCCAAAACACTTCAACTTTGTTTTTCTTGAATATAGAAAACCGCCCTTCTGCAGTTGACAGTCTTAAATGGCTAGAGAGACTTAAATATCACCACCTGCTCATTTCGGAAACTAGATTCGTTCTTTGGATGTTGTGTGGTGTTCAAGAGGAGAGTTCTCAACGCCTTCACCAATGAGTCGTTATTTTGCTGACCTACATCAAACACGTGTTGCAATAAGTGACGTGATTTAAAGTTCATCTCTGCTTTAGTGCCAGGGGGGCGCTATAGTCCACAACCTAACAAAGTGAAGGATTTTGTATGCAAATAGGGAACGAACGCTCGTTCTCGTCATCAGCCCTGCGCAGAAGGTAAAGAAGTTCTCGATCTATTATTTGACCGGCCATGTTGGACTTGGAGATTGAGTGGACAGTGGAAGGAGGGAGCGGTGAAAGGCGAAAAAACGCTTGCTCGCAACTCTGTTTGTGGGCGAACACAGTTTCCCAAACCAAAAATGACCTCAGGCGAGCGTAATCTTCATTGCCCCCCCCCCCCCCCCCCCTTTTTGACCGTGGCTCAACCCCGTGTTACAAATTTCTTCCTCTACTGGAAATGAAAGGCTAGTTAGTCGCAAGGCTCTCCTCCCTACCCCCTTCCCCAGCATTTTGTCAAGCTTTCGCACCAATTGCTGCTACCCATTTTTATTCCTCGGTAGAGAGATGTACTGTGAGAATAACGTATCTTCCCAAAGAACACTTCACAAAGACCTAACCAGGGTCCCAACCCAGACTCCTAAACTTTAATGATTGGGCTTCAGCTCCTCAAATAATTTCACAAAGAGGTTTGGAGGAAGGAAAAAAACAAAACAAAACAAAAACAACATTGAGACTTTGAAAAGGATTTGAGCTTGTGACCTCGCGAGATGCCGGGTGCAGTGCCCTGGCCGACTGAGATATGTAATCACTACCCGTTAATGAATGGTGAATTTGTCGGCTCTGGTCTTACGATCAAGATGAACTGAATTTAGTGTTTCATAGAAATCATAAGAATCCTCTCATCTCTGAAGGAGTGAGAAGAGGGAGAAAAAAAGAGAAGAAAGGAAGGTAAGCAGAGGCGGGAGAGGAAGAGGATGGGAATGAAAGAAGAAGGATGGAAGGGAGGAAAACAAAACAAGGCAGAGGTTTCCGATTTATAACCTCACCTCAATAACGGCTACAAAGCTATCAGTTATATCGGTACACAAATCAAATATTGTCTTCTTAACGTCGATTGTAACTGTTCAAAAGCAATTGAAATTTCCAACATCATTTACACGCTCATTTCATAAACGTCAAGGTATTTCAAATTAACTGATAACGAGCGCCAAACAAAATTTCTATTGAATTTTTTAGCAAGCCCTCCTCCTTACCTATTGGTTGATAATCTGTTGCGTCAAAGATCCGAACGAGGTCTCGCACGGTCCAAGGAGCCTGGAAGGCGGTATTTCCAAAGGATCCGAAAGATATTTTACTATAAAATACGGAAGAACAAACACCGCTCCCTTCAGTCCAGAATTCATTTTTTTTTCATTTTTTGAGATATCAGAGGCTCTGAGGAACTATTCTCTGAGGGCCCAGTTATGTAAAGGGCGGATAACGCTATCCGACGCATAGAGTTTTATCTAGTGGATAGCGCTATCCTACCTTCGAAAGACTGGAGCCGGAAGTTTTAGGGTTATGAGTCGAATAAAAGAGCTAGAGCTCTTTCACTTTTCCAAACACTGCAAAAGTTGCTAAAAAATTGATGAAAAGTTGAAAAACTTCCTTACTCAATTTTGGATGTCTATAAACTGCTGAAAACCTGTGGAACCATAATCCCGGGTGAGTATTCTGTGCTCTCAGTTTGAATTTGAATATCGAGATGACATATAGATCACAATTAAGGCCGACGTTGTGTTCCGTTATTTTCGTGAAACGTGATCTGGACTCACTGCTTTACAGTATGGCATTGGCTCGTTCTATAAAAAAAGAAAAGGATACAATCTCTGAATTGATGATAATCTCCAGCCCGAGGGATGAAAAACGCCGCTGACAAAGTTGTTAAACTTATCAAACTTATGTATAACCCGTTTGCCTTTGACATCCCATAATACACCGTCGTTCAGTACCAGGTCGTTCGTAGGATTGAAGGAGGCGAGGTTCTTTGGGTAGTTATTAGTGTTGTTGAAATCGTGCAGAGTTAGTATCCGCTGATCTGTCGCAGTGTCGTAAATCTGATGGTTGAATATAATCTAGTGAATACCATCATTACACTCTAACTGCATTCTATCAGTTATCGATAAAAAGGGGGTTTTGGCAGAGAAGTACCTCACGTCATAAACGACAAAAAAAAACCAAAAAAACCCACAAAAAAAAAAAGAAAGAAAGAAACAACTGAATCAAATACAAGAAAATACTGGTCAACCTTTACTAAGGCAATCACTAGGCTTTGCCTCCAATTTATCAACGATCTACCGATAGAAATCTCGAGTTTGGCGCCTTAAAGTTTGGCTAATGTTTCAAAAGTCGCATTTCAACTGAGTGGCGAGAAAGAAAAACCAAAGTTGTTTCTGAAGCATATGATAATAACAAATAAGAAAATTATCAAATACAGCCAAGAGGCCTCAAAACAAGTTAACTGAGGCGTAGAAAAGTGATCTTGGCCATGAAGTTTGGGCTAAAAATGCCTCTTGAAAGTCCATGTATTCGAGACAAAAAATGATCGCGCCCAAACTTGGGCGAAATTAGCGATTCTATCTTCCTTGCTGTCCCGTGTTCATGCAGTAGCAATTTCGCTGATCTATTTTTCCTTTTGTAAATGTTCTAAATGAACAGCGACAATTTGTCAAACGAAGGCTGCTCCTGACATATTTAGAAGTGAAAATGCATCATATATCTTGAACTCACATCCGCAGTGGCGTCGAGTGTGCCAATAGTTCTGTCTTCTAATAAATTACTAAACTTTACCCAGGTGTCTTCGTTAAATGGATGTCTGGGCCAGAGAAACAAATAAAATTTTTAAGTAAATAACATTTTTTTTTAAACAAAGAGATTAATGTAACGACGAAATATTACAGTTCGCCTACTGTCACCGCGTTATTAACACCAATCCGATTATAGGATACGAGCCACGATATCCACCGAAACTAATTCCCATGCCACAGAAACTGGACACAATTTCTAGACTTTAACATGGAAGTTAGAAGAAGTTGTCATCTTGATCTAATATCTTGTAAATATGTAAGAAAATAATAAAAAAAAAGTGTGAAAAGTGTGAAAAGTGTAAAACACCAAATTCTCATAACTAATTTACAAGGAAATGTGTAGCAGCTAGAGGAGAGAATTTAAATCAGATCTTGGGAGTTGAAGGATTTAGAATACCTTGCTAAACTTACCATATCCTTAAAAACTGCAGCACTTTCCAGCCCAGGCATGGCATTTAACAACACTCTGGCTGCAGTGCAGTTCAGATCAAACTGTTCCACAGAGCTCATGATGTAGGAGTTCACTAGTTTGTCCATAAATTCATCATTTCTGAACAGAGCCTTTCCATGCTATGTTTCATTCGTTCTGAGAGGGGAAAAGAACATTTTTTTTGGTGTGTAATTACAGCCACACGCCAATCCAACAACAGTTTTAACACAAGCAGGGTAAAATTTCCGCACAGCCCCATCCTACATTATGCATTCAGTTCTTGGATAGAGAAAACAATGACAAAAACAACACATTGCCATTGGGGAAACAGCTTTGTTTTA